GGCTGTGGCCCACGGCGGCCACCCCATCCCCGCAGGTACGCGGGGTCCCTGGCCGAGGCGGTGGATGTGGAGGGGCTGTTGGGCAGCCGCTCGCTGCGGGAGCTGGAGGAATCCCTCTTCTGCCGGACCAAGAGCCGCCCCACCACCTGGGAGACCTACTGGGAACGCAACGAGCCCCTGCGCGACGCCGACGAGGCGGCCGTGCCCGTGCTGTGCCTCTGCAGCGCCGACGACCCCGTCCGCGGCCCCCCGGCCCGCAGCCTGCCCCTGGAGCTCTTCCGCAGCAGCCCCTACTTCTTCCTGCTGCTGACCCCCCACGGGGGCCACTGCGGCTTCCCCCGGCGGGGGCCGGGGCGCTGCTGGGGACACGAGGCCGTGCTGGAGTATTTCAGGGCCATGGCAGAGTTCCTGCGGGCTGAGGAGCGGAGGAAGGGGCTGCCACGGCCCCGCAGGTGGGGGGGTCCCGCTGTCGAGCCCCCCGTCTTCACCTGGCAGAGGTCCTACACCCGGTAGCCCCCAGGGAAGGGTCCCACATGCTGGGGTGGGGGGTGTCAGAAAGGCAGGCAGACACTCCGTGTACTAAAATTACTTTATTACAGTTGATTTTTTTTTCTTTTTTAACATTTCCTTTGCTATGATACAAAGGATACTTACAAACAAAATATTACATATGACCTTATTTTTTTTCTCTTCTCTTATTTTCTGACAACTTGGTAACAGCTTTAAATGCACAATCTATACAATTAATACAGGTTATATATGAGCTATAACGTATGTTGAACCAGAAGAATACCAGAATACTGACAATATACTGTACATTAAGCCTTATCAGTTAGTGCTCGTGGCATTTTCTACAAGAAGGAAAACGCACACCTGTAGATTCACTCATACCAGCTGGTGCTACCAGACATGGAAGCAGGAAGGAGTTTAATTCCCCTGGTTAAATCCTTCGTGGCCCATCACCGTGGTGCTGGGCCTGGAAACCTCAGACCAGTGTTCATAGTAAAACAGCAGATATGTGTGTGTTTTTTCTAACTAACGCTCCGCAGCACAAAACCCTGCGGCCGGGCGCCTTCCCCCCCCGCACCGCGGCAGCCGGGCTTTGCCGGGTCTGGATGATGCCCCAGAGCAGGCGGCCACGGCGCTGGGCGAGCTCTTGTTGGGGAGCTGGACCTCCTTACGGAGGGGGAGAGGAGGAAGAGGAGGAGGAGGAGGAGGAGGAGGAGAGGAAAAGCAGCAACAGCTTTGCTGTCATCAGTAGGCAGCTCTCGAGTTTGTGCACATGAACAGGCGGGCGCCGAGGGGGGAAGAGCAAGCCCAAGGCACGCGGCTCCCCCCCTGGCACGGCTCAGCCGAACCGCGGGGCTTGTGCCCCGCAAAACCTCCGCTGGGGCTGGAGCTGCCCAGCGGTTACCTGCTCGCCAGGAAAGGTTTGCTTTTTGTTTCGCAGCCAAGGCTAGAGTTGTGTGGCTACAGGTGTGCACTTCCCCTCCTCCCGCCATGGTCTATGTTGGACTGATAAGGTTACATTTTTGTTTATTTATTTCTTTTTTTTTTTTTTTTTTTTTTTTTTTTTTTTTTTTTTTTTTTTTTTTTAAAGCAACCAGTAAGTAAGTGAAGCGTTTTTAGTTGACTGGCAAAAGACCTGGCATTTGCACAGAAGCTGCAAATGGAAAATAGCCATCCCCTCCTCCCACCCGCTGCATCCCAGCCCAGAAAATCCCAAACTGTTGGTGGAAGAAAAAAAAAAAAACAACAAAAAAACCACAAAAACAGGGGTGGAGGAGAGGAAGGGGAGGGGAACAGGTTGGAAAATACCAGGTTTAACAATTCCTTGACTTCACACAATGCTTGTGCAAAAAGAAACAAAACCCCCAAACAAACAAAAACCAAAACCAGAAACATGCTGGAAATAATGAAAACAAATGGAAAGTAATATATAAAATTAAAAATATAAATAGGATGTCTGGCTGACTGGTAGAAGAATAGGTCATTTAGGTTACAAAAAGGAATATACATTCAAGAGGCTCTGAACCCAGTGGGGTAACTGATGTTAAACTTGTGTTAAGAGTTAGGCTAGAATTCTCAAGTTTGTCTTTAAAATCTTCACAATACAAGCAAGCTATTTTTAAAAAATATACACTATACACACCTCACACAGCTTCTCCTATCCGTATTACACACGTTACGCTACCCTCCCATCCACTAAACCAAGGGGGTTCCCCCCGCTAAGGTACGCAGGGTGGGCCCCCCCCCTTCCCGACCCACTGGTGTCGGTGGGGCAGCGACGGCTGCAGAGCCCCAGGCAGGTCCCTTGGCCCTCCACGTCTTCCCACAACCTTCTTAAGCATTTACAAGTCACCAAAGGGCTGTAGCCTTTTATGTTATACACACTTCACTTTGTAACGTTAATTATTTACATCAGGGCTGCCCCCT